ACCCCAGTGAGGGCCTTAGTTTCTGCTGAACTCAAAGATATTATGTATATCCCTTGAGGAGGAACTAGGACTTGTGTTTCTTGACTCCTTTTCCTTTGTTCTGCATTCTGTTCTGCATTCTCGTACTTCCCTTGAGATCATTAATTATGAGATCTGTTCAAGGGCAAGCATTGTGACCAGGCTTAGATCACAGTATTACTTAGGCCAAAAATGGCTTCTGATATGTCAAGAAAGCCATGCCTCGTTTTCTTTCTCCGGGGACCCCCTACCCTATCTGCTTACACAAGGAGAATGGGTGGCTCATGCTCAGAAGACATGAACTCTGGGTGGTTTTCAGGGAAGAGTTTTTAAAGGCAACATGTGGGGTGGCGGCTGTAGGGTGTATGACTTCCTTCTGATTGGTTGGTGGTGAGGTAACAGGGTGCTGTTCCAGGAATCTCAAATCAACCTTCTGGTTGAGACCAGTCTGGGGTCTGGGCCTGCAGTTACTGTCTTCTACCTGGAATTGTTCCTGTAGAACAATTTGAAGATACGTATCAGATTGTTATGTATATCCCTTGAGGAGGATCTAGGACTCTGTTTTATTGTTGAACTATCTTTCTTGACTGCTTTTCCTTTGTTTCTGCATTCCCTAATTAGTAACTCTATGAATCTGCCCTTTAGAACTCTGGGAAGGTCTAGGAGGCTCAAGCTTTTTTCCTACAAACAAGAAACAGGAAACACAAAGGCTTTTATACCTGGAAGGGCCCCCACAGCTTCCTGCTCAGTTTCACTGTCCACTGAAAGAACAACTCAAAAGGGAAAAGTTGTGAGTTAAGTTTTATTCAGGAACCTTTTTCAGGGACCTCATAGCCCAAGAAATAGCCTCTTAGTGGCTCTGAGGAGACTGTTCCAAAGAGGCAGGAGAGGAGCCAGGATATATATGAGATTTTTGCCTGGGAAAAACATGTAGTCACGCATAGAAGGATTACTGCTAATCACAAAGAATAGACATCTCAAATTAATGATTTTAGTGCTTTTCTATGTATAGGAAGATGCAAGAATCTGGGGCCATTTGAAAATTTTCCTTAGATGTGCAATTTACTGTCTAGGGGTCAGTATATCCAAAGCACAGAATGCTTCCTTGTTTTCTCCATCCTGAATTCCCCTCAAGGGTGGGTGACTGCAGTAGCAGTGGCTTGATCCTTGTAGAACTGGAATGGTGGGCAACATTCTTTGCTTACAGTAGGAATTTTGGAATATGGGGAGAAAAAGAAGGGGAAAAGAGTGGTTCGATTGATGAGGAGGGTGAGGATAAGGAGGTTGCTGTAGGCTTTGGAACTTGCAAGTTTGGGGGCATGTATGGCAGCTGCTCATCTGTGGGTGAGTAGTGAGTAAGGCACAAGAGCTTGTGCCGTGAGAAGTTGAGTATTTTTAATTTGAGTGGGGTAGATAAATATCAGCTTTTACTGATTTTTTTATAACAGTCATTATGGCTTGTTTTCTTTCCCGTGCTTGTGGTCTATACTTGACCCAGTACTTAATTGGGAAGGGTGCTAGTTCCAGAGTATGAGGAACCCTAGTTAAAAGATTCCTGGCTTCTTTCTTAGTGTTGAATAAAATTTCAGTGGACTAATGTGAATAGGGGGTAAAGTGTTGGTCTTACATGGTTTAGCCCCTCTCCTGCCACCATCCCCCTTCTTTTCTGACCTCAACTCTTATCACTCTTTTGCTTCAACTATAATGTCCTATTTCCTTGCTATTACTCAAACACGTCAAGGGTGTTCCTGCCTCAGGGCTTTTTACCCTTATGCTTCTTTTGGTACTTTTCCCACAGGTATCAACTAACTTGCCCTCTTACTTTCTTCAGATCTTATCAAATGTCATCTTATTTTTGAGGCTTTCTCTGACCTCTCTATGAAAAATAGCACCCTCTTTCCCCCAGACCCTTCTCTTTATTTCTTTCCCTAACACCATCTGGCATACTGTATGTCCTGTTCACCCCTACTGGAATTTTAAGTTCCATGAGGACAGGCACTAGGTTTTGTTCATTGTTGTATCTCCAGTGCCTGCAGCAGTGCCCAGAACTACACCTAGCACTTAGTGGAATGAACAAATTCTTTCCCTTCTTTTTTAGTATATTTCTACGTGAGACAGCATTTTTGTACCTGGAAAAAACCTTCATTTATTAAGCAGTCCAATGCTAGAGCTTAATGAGAAAATAACCACCACCACCACCCCCCACGCTCCTTTTGTTTTGAGTGCCACTTTTTTTGGGTGTTTGTTTTGTTTTTGGTTAGGGAAGCATTGTAACAGGGAAGAGCCAATTTTGACTCCACATTGGATCTGTTTCTTTTACTTTAACCTTTGCTTTTCGTTGCTTTTGTTATTATACGTTTTAATTTCGTTGCTTTTGTTTTGTTATTATACATTATTATACATAATGTTATTATACATATAATCCCATAATGACTCAGGGAACCCTTCCCCTCGGCCTGAATGTTAAACTAAAGTTCCTCTGTTCAGCTCATAGGGAGACATTCTGACCCTGCCCACCTGTGAATGGCTACAGAAAAGAAGAAATTAATACAACCCCTCATATTTTGCAAGATGAACGGCCTTTTTACTTTACTTCCTCACCTCCTCCCCATCTGTTCTATAAAAGAAACTGGCATGCAGACCCCGATAAGATGGTTTTTTGGAAACCCTAGTCCTCCATCTTCTCGGTCTGCCGGCTTTCCGAATAAAGGTGTATTCTTTGCCTCAACACCTCATCTCCCGATTTTATTGGCCTGTTGTGCGGCGAGCAGAGCGAGCTTGGACTCGGTAACAGCATCATGCCTATTGAAAAATTTCAGAATGAAGGTGGGCAGGGTCAGAATGTCTCTCTGAGAGCTGAACTAAGGCCTTTTAGTTTAACAGAGGGACAGGGTTCCCTGTGGCAGGCCATTATGTATGCTTACAGCTATAGACAGTGATTATAATAACAATAGCAATGAAACACAAAGGTTAAAGTAAAAGAAACAGATCCAACTTGGAGTCAGAATTGGCTCTTCCTTGTTACAGTTTGGGGGTAGAAGTTTTTATAAGCAAAATTTGGGGTGAGGGCTGTAGGGTGTATGGCTTCCTTCTGATTGGTTGGTGGTGAGGTAACAGGGCAGTGCTCCAGGAATCTTGCACTCAGCCTAAGTTTGCCATCCTCCATCTGGGTGGGGGCCTTTGTTCTGCAGAAGAGCTCTAAGATATAGTATATTCCTTGAGGAGGAGCCAGGACCCTGTCCCAAGGCTTGCACTATTGTTTCTTGACTGCTCCGCCCTTGTTTCTGCATCCCCTCCCTTCCCTGATAAGCAGCTGTTTGAACCTTCCCTTTGGAACTCAGGGAAGGTCAAGGAGGCTGAATGAAGCCTATTTCCTACAAACAAGAAATGGGGAACACAGAAAGGCTTTTGTGCCCAGTTCTCACTGCCCGGGGCCCCAAAAACATTTGGGAACTCTGGAAGGAAGTAGTTTGAAAAACCTTCATATAGTTCCATTAGATACATTAATATTTTCAGGCTTTACTTTTAAAAGACTTGGCCAAGCTCTTGTTAAAACAGTCCAGAAAAAAACAAACAAACCCAGAATCCAGAAAAAAGGCTACTTCAGGTATTTTAGGTTCAACCTAAATAATATAGTTAGAGGAGAGAGCATTTTTTTTTTTCTTGAAAAATTAGTAACACTTTGTTTTCCTTTGTGTAGATGAGTCCTGCCAATTTTTTTTTTTTTTTTTTTTTTGCACTACGGTGCGGTACGCGGGCCTCTCACTGTTGTGGCCTCTCCCGTTGCGGAGCACAGGCTCCGGACGCACAGGCTCAGCGGCCATGGCTCACGGGCCCAGCCGCTCCACGGCATGTGGGATCTTCCCGGACCCGGACACGAACCCGTGTCCCCTGCATCGGCAGGCGGACTCTCAACCACTGCGCCACCAGGGAAGCCCCTGCCAATTTTAAAATACCACAATTTACAATTTGAGCATCCACAGTAGGTGGCCTATTATAATTTGAAGAAAACATTTTTTTTTGCCTCATACTTTTCAAAAGCTAAGTTTTAAAGTGTTAAAATGTATAATAATTCTGTGTTATAAAAGTGTGTGTTATAGTTAGATAAATATATAGCTGTGGAGGTAGGAGTATACATTATTGTATAAATGTTGGTATCACAGAGAAATGGCATGACTTAAAATATTCAATATAAGCACTGGACACTTGGCGCTGAAGGGGTTGCTTGAGAAGAAAGGGGACTTAAGATTATATAATGGTGACATAATATTGATTTTTGTTTTCCATATAAAAATTTGAAGAGAAAAAAATACTGTCATTTTTAGCATTTCTGTTACTTTGTTTTTGTATATCATTCGTAGGAGTTTATTTATTAGTAGGTGATTACTTTGATTTATGCCTAAAAGGGTATACATGCTTTTTTAAAAATTTTATTTTATTTATTTTAATTTTTGTGGCTGTGTTGGGTCTTCGTTGCTGCTCGTGGGCTTTCTCTAGTTGTGGCAAGTGGGGGCTGCTCTTCGTTGCGTTGCGTGGGCTTCTCATTGCAGTGGCTTCTCATTGCGGAGCATGGGCTCCAGGTGCATGGGCTTCAGTAGTTGTGGCTCGTGGGCTCTAGAGTGCAGGCTCAGCAGCTGTGGCACACGGGCTTAGTTGCTCCATGGCATGTGGGATCTCCCCGGACCAGGGCTCGAACCCGTGTCCCCCGTATTGGCAGGCGGATTCTTAACCACTGTGCCACCAGGGAAGTCCAAAGGGTATACATTCTTAAAAAGACAAATCATCATGTTGCTTTTTCAGTAGCAGTTTCTGAAACTACAGGTCAGCTATAGAAATCACTTTTCTGTTTTTATTCCTGTGAATTCACTTATCATGGATTCCTTTTGATCCAGCTCTATTTAGGAGAACCCTTTAAAAAATGTCAACAACTCATAAGCTAAGGTAGCTCCTAATGCTTTCCTTTATTTGTCTTAAAATTCTAGGAATTGAAGCCCTTTTTTATGAAGGAAGTTGGCAGTCACTTTGATGATTTTGTGACCAATCTCATTGAAAAATCTGCATCATTAGACAATGGTGGTTGTACCCTCACATCCTTTTCTGTTCTTGAAGGAGAGAACAGCCACAGAGCTAAGTAAGTACGAGTAATAGTTTCTTTTAATGCACAAGTCTACTCTAGCACAGCTCAGTGGTCTCAATGTGGATTGCACTAAAAAAGCCTGGATTCACACCGCACTACCTTTTATTAGCCATGTACTGCTATTTTAAACAGTTGAAGGGTGGGTTTCTTCATCTTAATACGTGGATTATAACAAACATGCATACCTCATTTAAGACCATGCTGACTTATAAAGTAACATAGCTAACACTTGTTGAATGCTTTACATTTAAACCAAACAATGACCCTGTGAGGCACATAATATAACTGCATATTACAGGTTAGGAAACTGAAGCACGAAGCAGTTAAATGTTGTCCAAGATTACACAGTGGGGATTTGAACCCAGTGTCCGTGCTCTTCACTATGTCTCATACTGCCTCTCTATTGTACCCTATACAGTACTTGTAATAAAGTACAGTGCAATTAGTATATGTTATTTTAATTGGTCAGTGATCCAGAGCAGTAGAGGGAAGGCTATCAAAGGCCAGTGTGTGCTAATTTGCCATTTTGTGCTTTCCTTGGTTTTATGCCTCTTTGGTCTCTGTCAGTCTCCTGTTCTGGAGAACTGTTTTGACCAGAATAGCTAACCATAGCAGAAGTGCTAATGGTACTGCAAGAAGCCCTAAAGAAGGTGATAATGTTAGATGTTAAAATGTGAGGTTTTAGTAACTGGAGATAACTTTTTAGATCAGGAGACTGTTGGGGATTGTTGGAAGACCTTAGGGGAGGGTATCATAAACATCAGTGCAGTTTTGGAGGACAGACCAAAATAGTATGGGAACTGAGTAAAGTATGACTGGAGGCTTGTCCTTAGGGGTATTTAGGAGAAGGAAGAGTGGTTGTCAGCCTGTGATGCCAGGAATGCATCTCCATAGGGGCTGGGCTGTTGCATATTTTTGAGTGCTGCTGTAGTTAGGTTTGTCTAACATCTCTTCCTTCCTAATCAGATATGTCTGCACCTACCTCACAGCATTGTTCAGAAGAAGCAAATGACAAAACATGCATAAAGTCCTAACACAGTACCTGGGTCATAGTGAGAAGGCAGTTAATATTATAAGCTGTAGTTGGTAATATTGCTTTTCTTATCCATAGGTTTAAATTTCTTGTAATACTTGAAGTACTCATATTTTAATTTTTTGCTCTTCCCAGAGATCTGAGAGCACCTCCAGAACATGGAAAGATTTTTGTTATAAGGCGATCTCTCTTAGAGTGAGTATTTTTAGTTGCTTTTGTTAATTATTTGCATTTAAAAAAATCAAACTATTCTGCTGGTTAGAATCACTGAGTACTCTATGAATGTTTAATAGGTTTGTTCTGTATTCATGTAATACATTGGTTTTTGGTTTTTGGTTTTTGGTTTTTTGTTTTTGTTTTTTGCGGTACACGGTCCTCTCACCGTTGTGGCCTCTCCCACTGCGGAGCACAGGCCCCGGACGCGCAGGCTCAGCGGCCATGGCTAACGGGCCCAGCCGCTCCGCGGCACGTGGGATCCTCCCGGACCAGGGCACGAACCCGTGTCCCCTGCATCGGCAGGCGGACTCCCAACCACTGCGCCACCAGGGAAGCCCTAATACATTGGTTTTGATACTTATTTTTGTACATTTGCCATTTCTTACTCCTCCTTTCTGAACTTTTGGTTCTGTATCTAGTTTCAAAGGAGGAGTTGGAGGTAAGAATGGTTATTGGTCCTCTGATAAATTCCTTGAAGTTGTGCTGCTAGAACAGAAATTTTCTAATTAGGTAAACCACTTCAAGAGAGTTTCGGTGGTGCTGTCTTCTTGATACATAAATTTTTTTCATCTCTTCTTTGGCTAGCCAACTTTGAGACTTGATAGTTTTTTCAGATTTACTTATTTTAGAACCCTGATTGTGTAGATTTTATGGGGGAAAAATAGGCAATGTAAATTAATTGTGGCGCCTTCGTTTGTGAACTGAAAATTAAAGGTGCATTTTGAGTAGGTAATGAATGTGTCTTTTGAAATGTTGTCTGAGTTGATTATCAATCATTGATTTCTTCATTAGAATGCTGATATTCATGAATAATGTTCTGTGATTACTGTTTGAGATGTTTTTGGAGTGTGGATTAAGCATCTTCTGAACTGCTTTGAAGTAAAGTCTTTAATATATGGTGTTTTAAAATTAAATATCGATTAATTTTATTTGGACTACATTTACAGTGAGCTGTTTGAGGTAGACCACATCAGAACGATATATCACATGTTCATTGCCCTCCTCATTCTCTTCATTCTCAGCACACTTGTAGTAGATTACATTGATGAAGGAAGGTAAGACAGTATACCTGTTTGCTTAGTTGATGCATGGGGTGTTGGGAGTTTTCACTATATTTAAATTTTGAAAAAAGATGATTTGGTTAAATTCCAGAGCAGCTGGAATCCCAGAAAATCCCAGAGCAGCTGATTTGAGGGTGAGAGTTCTCTCTCCTGAAAAGTACAACTAAAAAGAATATTAGAAGTTTTATGACTTTTATTTTTTAAATGGTCTATTTTAATAGACCATCTTAGTAGTTTCTAGGTAGTTTTCCTAAATGAGAGAATATTGTATATATGACTTACCAATTTTTCTGCTATGGTATGCATTTTAGGTTGTTTCTAACAATAGGTAGTTATTGGAATTTAACGTTTGAAAAACATGATGTTTTTAATATAAAAATCAAATTATAACTAAAAATGACAGTGTGATAATCATACATTGAATTATGTGCTTTATTAGTAAATTAAAATTTGAGATAATCATAATAGTATATTAGATTTTCGAACTGTACTATTTCATTCTGCAATTCATTGTGCATTCTGTACGTAAATGATTGCTATTTAAATATTTTAAGTATTTACTTTGCCGTAGCGTATTTTAGAGTTTAAAATGTATTAATGTGAGAATCTAATCTTTGAGAAATTCAGTCTTGTTATCTTAGGTTAGTAGTTTAGGTATCTTATGTTCAAAGACCATATTGTCCTAGAGCTTTTAGAAAATAGATAAATAAGTTGTGAAGCTGAGGCTTAGGAGCACAAGTGTTACATCCATGACTTCTGTGTATTAGTGTTGTTGTGTCTCCTAAAATTGAAAGTGTTGGGTCTGAAAGTTTTTAATTTTATAAATCAGTGCTTATTAAAAATCCACTTCTGTGTTCTTTCTCTGTGTTTTTTTTCCCCCAGGCTAGTGCTTGAGTTCAATCTCATGTCTTACGCTTTTGGCAAACTTACTGTTGCTATGTGGACGTGGTGCACCATGTTCTTATGTACACTTACAGTTCCCTATTTCCTGTTTCAACGCTGGGCCAGAGGCTATCACAGGACTTCTCATCCAGTAGTCCATTCTCTCTTGCATTGCTTCCTTTTTGTGGTCTTCCAGATTGGAGTTCTAGGTTTGGGACCACTTTATGTTGTATTAGTGTATACACTACCACCAGCTTCCCGATTCATTGTTATACTTGAACAGGTAATGTTTTGAGTGTTTCTCAATACAATGCTATGCTTAGTTAATAATAATAATTGTTATTTTTTGTTGTATTAGTTGGATAAATTTTCATATCTGGTTCTTTGTGCTATTACCTATAAAATTAAAGTGTTAAACTACATCATCTTGTCTTTTTTTTTTTTTTTTTT